CCCCCCCCCCCCCCCCCCCCCGTTAAATACGTTAGTGTAAGCGTGTCAATGACAAGCCCTGAAAGTGGTCTTATAAAGTGGAATTTTCCCGTTTAATTAACGTTTTTCGTGATTGTTTTTTGGGGGGAGGAGGATGCGCCTCCCTCCCCCCTGTCACCCCCCACAAGAATCCTCATTGATGTTCTCTCAGAACAAACGCTACTTGTTTTCATTTTGCCGCCCATTTTTGCGCATAACGCTACTTCAAGGAAATGGCGAATTTTGACGGTTTTCATAGGGTGGGTACTGCTGGGGGGCCCCCCTCCCCCCCACGAGGGGTTAGGACGCTCCTCGAATGAAAAATTAATGCTCTATTATTTTAGGGGTAAACAATTTTACGATAATACGAACCTTCTTTGCGTTATTGGCGAGAAATCGCGGCGAAACGGTCATTTTCGCGGAAATTTGAGACATTTTGACATTTTGAGCCCCCCTCCCCCGGGGGTCCGCGGGGAACCGCGGGTCCTGGTCAAAGTCAAACAAAACTTTTCTAAAGCAAAATTTCACGAGCTTTCAGAATGGTTATGTGGAGTTTTGCCCTAAAATCAAGCCTTTTTGGGTAAAAGTGGGAAAATTCGCGGAAAAGTCGGAATTCTGAGCAATTTTGGGGGGTTTAGGGGGGCCTACTCCCCCCCCCACCACGATAAAATTCGCGTAAACAAGAAAAATCTTATTCTAGTAGTTGAGAGCTTCAAGAAAATCACCATCTTCATAATTCCCACGGGGGGGGGGGGGGGGGAGGGTTACCCCTTGCTGGCCCACGGTCTATGTATAATCCTAAACAGATTTGTGATAAAAAATCGTGACGGGACACTTAACACAAAGATAAAGCCATGTAGAAAGAAATCATGGGTCTGTTGCAAGGTGTGGGGATTTATGAATTGATAACTGATTCCAAGTTCAAATTTCACGAAAAGAACGATGGTGCTACTAAAAAAGCTTGAAATGACCTCTCAAACTCAAAAAAAGCTGTTTTTGGAACCGACCCATTCGAAACGGTCACTTTCACGCGGGAACGGATCCGGTACACTCTTTTCGTCACATCTCATGACAAAAATTGTCTTTTCATCCCTTACAATTTATTTCCCCATAAAGAATTGGCAGTCGCTCTTCAAATGCAAATATCGAGGCAATCGATGATGGGCCCCCTAAGACTGGTGAGTTCTGGTAGGTATCGGACGTTGATGGCCGTCTCACGTGCGATAGCTGACCAATAGGTACTCGGTGCAACTAGTCGACCTCCCTCATTAGTTCCTAATAGTTCTTCTACTTCAAGATCATCATCGACATCATTGTCCTCATCATACAATTCTAGGATTTTGCAGTCTTTGGTAGGTGGAAGGGATAAAACTTGATTTTTTTTGGCGCCCATAATATTTTTCCTAAAGCAAGTCTATGTGAATTATTTCAAGGACTAGGCTTTTTCAGGGGCAACAAACAACCCTAGTCACACATTTCCCGATGATAAAAAATTACTTTACGTTTCTTTGAAGTACTTTCAGCGACTGTTGAAAAAAAAACTCTATCCCTTTACTGACTTACCTTTCCCCAAAATTGAAGAGGCCGTGTCACCGCCTGAGAAGGTATGCAAAAGCGTATGTCGTTGAACAGCCGCGAACGAACTGTTCCTGCAGAGTAATCGTTAAATATATGCCTTGAAATGATGTTTTATGCAATTTAAGGATGGGGTTTAAGGATTTAAGGATATGAATTTTGGGCAATATGCACGAATAGCTATCTACTGGCACTTGATTGACTAAAAATCTATAGGATATATAGGTACATTTACGAGCCACAAAAACAGCCTAACTTGACTTTTTCAGCGCCTTGACCCGAAATTCCCGCCAAAAAAGCGAAAAGTCGCATTTTCTCAAAATCGGCCAAACTACAGATTTCGCGGTTTGTTGTTTCTCAATCAGTAGGCCTTCTAGTTGGCATTTCCGCAAAAAAATCGCGGGTGGTATGTTGACTGCATTAAAAGTGTTTAAAACGTACCGTGGTTAATTTTGGTCACGTCAAACAAAATTTGTACCTTCTGGTTCATTTATCCTTTCCCAAAATTTGAGCCATGTGGGGTACGGGAGTTTCGTCTAGCCGGCAGCTCAGTCCTAGCTCCTGACAAGTCTAGTTCTTTGACCCACAACGCTTCACCTGTTTCAGTATATCTCACGTTAAAAGTACAGGTTTTAATCCCTCAGCGAGACAAACATTTTAGCTATGAACTGTCACTCGTGAAAGGTCCTTTAGTCATTCTTTCTTCTTCTTCTTCTCTTTTTTTTTAAATTTCCCATTTATATATTTCAATTTTAGGTCTCTCAGGCCCAATTGGTTATCCCGGTGCGCCAGGGATGGAGGGCAAACCAGGGCCATCCGGTGATGATGCTTTATCATTTGATGGTGAGCCAGGACTAAGAGGAGAACCTGGAACTCCAGGAGTTCATGGCCGCTGGGGAATACCCGGTGGTAAGGTAAGTTAATTATTACCTTTACTTCCTATCATCTTAAAGTTTTCAAAATGCATATACAAGTAAGTCATATCCGTAGACTCCGCACATAGGAAGGCGTCACACACGGCAGCTTTAATATTGGTATAAGTAGGTATCTACGAGGCAAGAGACACCGACGATTCTAAGGTACCTTTCCGCTCTCATCATTATTGAAGATATTACTGTATTGTCTAAACCGGATTTCATTTAATTAGCACATGCCTGGTTATTAATGAAAGTACACAAGAACAAGAATTACATCTGACGCCTTTATTCACACCTAGAAATAGATATTAGAGGAGGGAAAGGATAGCGCTAGTGCTGCACTCTATTATCGATTTTTAGACTCAACACACCTCCTTAAATTTATCAACTTCGTCACAACAAAAATTTTAGACGCCTAGAGGAAAAATAGGTATCTGAAATAAACATGACTTGAATACACCTTTTGGGCCTAATTGATACATCGATTTCAATTTTTAACCTATTGAAGCCATTATACTGTACGTAATGAAAAAGATATTCGATTTGAGTTTAAGCGCAAACAGAGAAAATTAAGGAATGACAAAAAGATTAACATGAGTTTGAATTCTGAGCAAGGAAAATCTGCAAGTAGCATCATTACCCCTCCTCACATTCGACTTTATCAAGAAAGCGACTTTAATTTGAGACAGACTTTCCATTATTTTAATTCATTCTGCAGTTTTTCAAAGTGTGCTTCAACTAACACTAACAGTTTTTGTAAGCGAGTCAGCTAAATTTTCTTTAGAGGCAGTATTTTTATTAGCTATTACGCCTGTTTCGTGATATTTAATGACAAAGTTATATCGAATTTCAATACTTTTCGAATTCTTCCTTAGTAACAGGGATGTATAAAAATTGAAAAATTAGTAAAAATTATGCTTTCAACAGATAAATGATGTATGACTTTAAAATAAAATATAAAAATAACGTTATCTTGTGTTTTACCGTAGACCGGCACAAATTTTACAATTTTGTGCCTTTAGTTGAGTAAAGAAAACCTACAGAAATTCTCGACTTTTTTAATTATTGCACTAAACTATACGTCTCAATAGGTGCAAAAAAATTAAAACTGTATTACATAGGCTGTCCTAAAACAACTGGCACTAAGGCTGTCATTCGGAAACTACAATAGATATCGACATGCGGTTTGCGGGAGGTGATAGCTCATACTCTTAGCTCTTAAACGAGCCTAAGTTGAGCTAGTTTGGTTAAAAACTCAAAGAGTTATATAAATTTTCCCGAGACGTGTAAGAAATACCCCTACGGATTTTTCGGTAATTTTTCATTCCGTTACCTTTGCCTCCGCAAGCTTTGCAAGTGGTTAAGACGTTAAGAATCAAGTTTCCACTTGTCTGGATGCAAGTTTGAACTTTCCAGCAAGTGTTTCCATCACAGCCGAGAAGTTTTTTTCTGTTTGCAAAGTCCATTTAGTGAAATTGTCCGGCCTGATAACGCGTTTTTTTGCGTTTCGCCATGAGTTCACGCGCGCAAGGGGTGGGGATGGGACTGGCCTTCAGCATGAAGCTGGATGAGGCTTCCTATGAACTTTGACTTTGATCTTTCTTTTTTTCTATATGCTGTTTTTAAAAAGCTAGTAAGGACTTTTATCACCGCAATTACATGTTGTGTGTTAGTGACTTTTGTTGCCTCTAAAGCATCACACATAAAAACAGTAGTTAAAAAATTAATTGGTAATGTTTGATGTGTATAGTTTTTTTTTTTTTTTAAATTGGTAAATCCCTCAAATCTCCGATAAATGCAGACTTGCGAAAGGTAAGTCAACTGCGAATCATTTTGATGGATTGGTAAAACAATATTAAAATAAAAAAATACATTTTACCCTCTCTACGTCAGGATCCTTACTAAAGATCTTCAGTGAGGTAGATTCAGCTCAGCTGTAGTTCGAATCTGAAAACATTTACCGCGTCGCACTGCTAAAATCCGGCTCAAAAATGATTTATTCTTTTGATATCACCAGGTTGATTGAATTCTAAGGCTCATAAGTTCTGGCAGCATATGTCTACAACTTTTAAGACCAAATGCGAGCTTTGAAAGTTCAATGACAGAGGCTAAATCTTGATCACAGTTTCTCTTATGGGATGCCTATAGGTAAGTTCAAGAAAGATGATAGAGAGACATCTACAATTGCTGAGAGAGATCAATCGTGATTGGTCGCGTCAAGGTAATTTTGCTGAACGCCTCTTATTTCTGGGATCAAGTTACCAGAGCCGGATTTATGGGGGGCCCATGGTGCCATGCCACCGGGCGGCAAATTTTAGGAGGCGGCAAATTTCGGAATTTTTAGTTTGTTTTAATAGAAAAAAAGGAGTTTATGTTTCATGTTCTCCTTTTACGTATCAAAATCCTCGTTCCTTGAAGAATCATTTCCCCCTCCTTAAATGTTTGTTTACAACGCTTTCCTGCACAGATACGCATCCTTCGGATTGCGCTTTTGTCGTGTTTCCGAAACTTATGTTTCGTGCGCATCGGCATCGCGTGAGTCTATAGGAAATTAAATTGATCAAGATAAAGATATTATATTATTGATCCAATATAAAATCCCAAGCCGGGAAGAAATAAATCCCAAAATTTCGCTAAAAATATCCCTGAATCCCCAGATTTGCTCAAATATCCCCAAAAAGTCCCTAGATACTGCAAAAAAACAGTCATTTTCAACGTAGAATAATGACCTCATTCGATGTGCCGATTTGCAATATTTAAATCTGACTATGGCTTGTTTGAATTTTGCCGCACTATGAAAGCGTTGAACAGACCATTAAAATGAAAGAATATTAGTTGCGGAGTTTTATTTATTTTTTTTAGTATATCGAGTGACACTATCGTTATAATGTTCCAGTCTACTATCGGGGAAAAATAGTGTTGCGCCAATAAGGCCTACAAAATATAGATGAAAAATACTTTCTCTTGAGTCGTCGGTAAAATTGAGGGTAAAAGAGTCGATTTTTATTTACTTTTATCTCATCAAAAAAATCCCTAGATATCGAATCACAGTACGTCATATATGGGGGACGTCAGCGCGGTGAACGGAGATGGCTGCCTTTTGTGTAGCTCCGGTAATTTGGTTGTAATTTCGTGTTTTTTTGGTGAAATTTTTTGTAAAAAGTGGCCGAAGTGTTCGTGACGGGCAGATCTACGATTTTTTACTTGGATTCAACGTCAGGTTGTACCTTTCCGTTTTATTTTTGGTCTTTAAATATTGAGCTGGCCCGTCGGCCATTTTGCGTGGCTTGCCACGTAGTTTTTAGTGCAGGATTTTTCATTTTTTTG